CAAATAAAAATCGCAAATTTCATCAAACAGATTTCAAAAATTCTATTAATCTCTTACACTTATAAATTTATAAATTTAATACCAATGCAGTCAATTCATTTCTAAAATTTTCCCCCACAAGCAGTAAATCTAATTATGATGAAAATTTGTATCTTAATATTCCCCCATGACTAGCAGTAAATTTCTAAATTCTATGTAGTAAATTAAATAAATGCAAATGCAGTACTAACCTTTTGATATTCTCATTCATTCATACAGAAATTCTATCCACACTCGCACAGCTCGCCCACGAAGAATTGTTTAAAATAATGAATTTCAGTTTCAAGTTTTCACACTCAACAACTCTAACATATAATAACATGTTTCAAACTTTCCTTTAGCCCGGTTGGAAAGGAATCATATACTAAACAAAACTAACCAACGCAGCTTACTAAATACCACAAATCATAGAATAACAGCATGACTTAGAAAAAGAAACCAACGGTACCCAAACCGGATTAACCCAGTTTAAAACTGGATAATTTATTCTTTTGAAGACTATTATAAAGTCTAAGAAAGAAATAATAAAACACAAAAAAGTCGAAAGACAAACCCATACCACAAACAATTTGATTTTTGAAAAAAGGACACAACCAACAAAACATAAGTAAGACCACAACAAACTCAACATAAAACGTTGTCACATAACAGGACCCCTCACAAAAACCGCATGAAATCATACTCCCACTCCTGGCCTAACCCACCAGGAAGGACGTCCTGAGCATGCTCTATAGCCGGCCTAACCCACCGCGCTACATCCACGCTTTGTGACCACACCACTATTTTTAATAAGAGCTACTCAAGTGTGAGTAACTCTTCAAAATAACCGAACTAAAACAAAAAGCTTTTGTGAAAACAACTAACTAAAATCATTATTAAAAAATATTAAACTAATAAAAGTTTTATAAAATGTAAAATCACATGATGCAATATATAGATCAGAATACAACACCAAGGACGAACATCAAAAGACAAGACGACCCCACTACACTCGAGAGAGAATGACCAACTACAATCGATATGCCGCTCACAATCACAACTCAAAGGATTTAGAGTACGACTTGACCTCGCAGAAAAGGACTTCATTGAACTAGACCAATGACCACCTCGATGTTCAAGTATACGTACAGATCCGAGTAACCAGGCATCCCCTCCACGCACAATCTCCACGCCATTCCCAAACTAGATCATACACAAAAGAAGTTCTCCACGCAGAACAGAAAAACCTGACATAGCAAACCATTCTGAAATCAGATTTGAGTTTGTTGCAAAGACGTAGTCGTTGTCACTAGAAGACACAACGTCTTATGTCTCTAACTCCAGCTTCCTGGAACTTCCCTAACAAAAGAGGAAACGGAAGAAAATTATGATGTTCGCCAAAAACAAACGTCCATCATCCATCCTTCGAATTGCAGAAGAACTATTCTAAAAAACTCTGTAAAACCCGGATGGGTGGAACCTGATCTAAACTACATTTTATGATTGGATAAATTAAATGTTTTACCAATGTAAAGTATTTAATATTAACCAATCATGATCCATCTAACTAACAACCCACTTATTTGTAAGTGCTGAAGTTACTTGTAATTTCAGCACCAGAGAGATTTGAATTTAACTTAGAAATTAGTTGGACTCTCCCGAGCACTGCAGCAGCCGCAATAAACCAGTATACCCTAGATCTATTGAGCCTAGCAGAGACTAGTTAAACAACCTGAGACTAGATAGTATAAGAGTAAGATTAGGATCGGTATTAGACTAAGAAGTTGCACGAATCTATCCGGCCGAAAATAAGATAGCGTGACGAGCAGACGGTGTACCCTATCCGAAATTACTCTATGAGTTACACTTCGGTCCTAACTCAGTTTATGCCGGAGAGTTTCCCACAACCCGTCCTTTCGAAACACTGTCAATTTCAAAAAACTTGACTTTTTCGAAGACCGTAACTACTTTTCTACAAAATTTCGGGCGTAGCCGCTTATGCCTGAAAATTTCTCACATGATCTTTTCGCAATTAAATTTTTAATCGTGTATTAGGTGATAAGCTTTTAAGCGAAGTTACACAAAAAAGTTCAAATCATTAAAAAATTGCCTTTTTTGATGCGTTAATTTAAAATCAATCGAGTTGGCCGGTTAAGCAAAGGTAATACCCATAATCGGTTCTCTCAGTTGAACCCTCAACCCAAGATTCTGGATGGCATATTCCGAGAAAAGTCAAGAAATTTCAAAAACCAAAAAAATGTCAAAAATTAGCCTTTTTTGAGGTCGCAACTTTTTGTATCTATAAAAACTAGAGCATAGTGGCGTATGCTAAAGAGGTTCCCGCTGCCTGATTATTTTCAATTTAATTCAAAATCTTAACCTTATCGCGATAATTTCTGGGAAAATGAAAAAAAGAAATCTGAAAAAATATAGAGAAACGTGGGGGGGGGGGGGGTTTGAACAACTTTTTAACCGTCCATTGGTATCACATTTTCAGAATTGGTGAGTTTTTTTCTGATAATTTTTTTGTTATTTTGTTAAAACTGAAAAAATAATTCAAAGCGTCTTAAAACATGTATTGAGAAAAGAAAACAGATCACATACATTTTTTAAATCCTATTTTTTTCCTCAAAGAAATAAATGTTTAATGTCTTATTATAACCCTAAGTGACAAAGGATTAACCGTAAAAATCATAAAAAAACTTAAGCGTTTATTTAGGTCGTTTATTTTTTTTTTGAGAAAGTGAGCATATAAATTTGTTACAGATCAGTCTTTTGTTGGTAGCATAACTTTCAGTTCTTTGAAATTTATATACTTTTTTAACGGAAGACAGGCACACTTTACGATGATAAAAGAAGAAATGGCTCAATGTTGCAGACGTAAAGTTTCAAATGTGATTGTGATTTTCTAGTTCTCCCCACGGAATTTTGTGGATCTAGTCTGAAAATTACTCAAGCATTCAATTTTTTGAAACTGAGTTAGTTCTATCATAATAGTCTTGTTTCTTAAAACTTTATGATATTAAAAGAATTTTTTCAACATGGCCAAAAAGAAAAAACAGCTGTGAAAAACTTGTAAGAAACCATGTAACTGTGCTCAGGGTAAAGTTAGAAATAAAGCATCGCCAACAGACAGTTGAAAAAGAATCAACGAATACAAGGAAACAGAAGAGGCTAACTGACTTCTTCTTTTAAAAAAATTTCAAATTTCAAAGGAAAAATATATAGCTGCAAAGATTTTTAATTATTGACACTTTCTTCATAAAGTCAACTCATATTGAAAAAAAACTGGATCAATCAGTAATTAGGTAAGAATTTCCGGTGGAATATCTGTAAGTTCAGCTCCACTTTCGAAACTAGAAGTCGATCACGTTTTTCGTGACGTTTATCCTTCTGCTATTCGATAGTGGAATTTGCCTTTCTTTGAAAACAAAGGAAATGAACTGAACTTAAAACAGTCAAAAGTCAAAGCGCAAACAAAAAAATCAAATTTGAGCCAAAACATTTTTTAAGTATTTTTCAGCAAGAACGAAAACGAAGCTTCTTGACATTTATGAGAGTCAGAACTACGTTCACCGAAACCTAAAAAGTCAAAAAAGGTGTTACTTTTTCATTAACATTTTTATGCCCTGCAAATTCATAGGATGAGAATTGCTTGACCAGCATTTTTTAATAAATAGAAGTTTTGTATATATTTAACTTTCTACGTTTCTTAACTTTGCGCGATGGTTTTTGTATTTTCTAATGCTAAATGTAGTGTTTTTGCCTCAAGAGTAACCCGAAGAAAGTTTTTTTTGAGAATTGGTTTTTTGCAATTTTTTTTCAAAGCGGTAACAGTCACTTTTACAATTGTCAAAAAGCGCAATAGTTATTTTTGATCCTATTGTAAGATTAGGTGATTTTATATTACTGCTGCAGAGTCAGTTTTTAATTCATGACATAATCTCATAAGCGAAAATGCTAGTCTATTCTTGTTTTTTAATGGCTTCTGATAAGGCTGTCAATAAGGCAGACGAAAGGAAAAAAATTGATTCAAAAATAACAGCTTCTAACAATTATCTTCATGCAAAATTGTGAACGAAAAAAAATGCAAAATTGTGTACGAAAAAAAACTACGTTAGTTGAGTACAGTGCTGATCTAAATTATCCGGAAAAAAAAACGCATTGAACTAGAAATTTCAAACTTTTTTCTCCAATTGAGTTGATTTTAGGTAAGAAAAGAACAAGAAAAACTTGCTCAGAATTTTAACTGAGCAATTTAGGTAACAAAAGAACAACAAAAACTTGCTCAGAATTTTAACTGTCTAATTTGTTGTGCGAAACTTGCGCCCAAAACTTTTCCCAAAAACTGAACATTTTTAGCCTTATAATTCAAGCAAAAATCAAAAATTACGTCAAAACTACCAAGTCGATCACTGAGATAGTTATATCAAAGTGAGCCTCTCATGTAGCCCAACAAACTTTTAAAAAAATATACTTTTCAAAAATGTTGCGTAAAAAGTTTGAAAAAATTAATGTTCTCATTTGTAAAAAAGACCTTGTTAGTCTATAAAACAGAATTAAATTAAAATAAAAAAGTTTTGGAGGTTATACTGCTCCTTAATTTTGTCGAGCTACGTAAAAGATTCACTTTGATATAAATATTTCAATGATCGACCAGGTGGTTTTGGCGAAATTTTTGATTGACTGAAAAAGCCAGAAATGTTCAGTATTTAGGGTAAAATTTTTAGGATATTTGTGGTAAAAAATTGTGCAATACAAATTGTATCATATTACTTCCGTTGAAATTCTAAGCAAATTTTGTCTTCATAATTTTTCACTTAGGTCAACCAACTTGAGAAAGATGCGTTTTGTCCGGATAATTTAAATCAGCACTCAACATGTAATCTAACTAATTGCAAAAAAATTTCAGTTAACTGTTTTTTTAAAGGAAAGAGCGAAAAAAATACTTAAGTGTCGAGAACTAACTTTAAATTTTTTTTTTAGAAAATTTGCCCTTTCCTAGACAACAAGCTTTGTCTTCTGCCTCCGAGGAACAATTTCTTTCTCAGCTCCTCCAAAGCATCGGCGACAGTGGATCCCTTCTTCTCATCAACATCCATTCTTCTGTTTGGAGAGTAGGTTGGGGAATGAATCGGAATACCAGGTTGAAGTCTCTCCACTTCCCGTTTTTTTGGCCATGGAGTTGTCTTTTGCATCCACCAAGGAGTTGATGTTCTCATGGGTGTTGTGGATGACGTAGTGCTGGAGGTCTTTGATGTCGTTAATTCAGGAGTAGTCGCAATAGTCGTCACAGGTATGGCTGACGTAGTGCTGGAGGTCTTTGACGTTGACGTCGTTAATTCGGGAGTAGTCGCAGTAGTCGTAATGACATGTGTGGCTGAGGTAGTGCTGGAGGTCTCTGGTGTCGTAACTTGAGGAGTAGGCGCAATAGTCGACACAGGTGTGGCTGACGTAGTGCTGGAGGTCTTTGATACCGTTAATTCAGGAGTAGTCGCAGTAGTCGTAATGACATGTGTGGCTGAGGTAGTGCTGGAGGTCTCTGGTGTCGTAACTTGAGGAGTAGGCGCAATAGTCGTCACAGGTGTGGCTGACGTAGTGCTGGAGGTCTTTGACGTCGTTAATTCAGGAGTAGTCGCAGTTGTCGTAATCACATGTGAGGCTGAGGTAGTCCTGGAGGTCTCTGGTGTCGTAACTTGAGGAGTAGTCACAATAGTCGTCACAGGTGTGGCTGACGTAGTGCTGGAGGTCTTTGATACCGTTAATTCAGGAGTAGTCGCAGTAGTCGTAATTACATGTGTGGCTGAGGTAGTGCTGGAGGTCTCTGGTGTCGTAACTTGAGGAGTAGGCGCAATAGTCGTCACAGGTGTGGCTGACGTAGTGCTGGAGGTCTTTGACGTCGTTAATTCAGGAGTAGTCGCAGCTGTCGTAATCACATGTGAGGCTGAGGTAGTCCTGGAGGTCTCTGGTGTCGTAACTTGAGGAGTAGTCACAATAGTCGTCACAGGTGTGGCTGACGTAGTGCTGGAGGTCTTTGACGTTGACGTCGTTAATTCAGGAGTAGTCGCAGTAGTCGTAATCACATGTGTGGCTGAGGTAGTGCTGGAGGTCTCTGGTGTAGTAACTTGAGGAGTAGGCGCAATAGTCGTCACAGGTGTGGCTGACGTAGTGCTGGAGGTCTTTGACGTCGTTAATTCAGGAGTAGTCGTAATCACATGTGTGGCTGAGGTAGTGCTGGAGGTCTCTGGTGTCGTCACTTGAGGAGTAGTCGCAATAGTCGTCACAGGTGTGGATGACGTAGTGATGGAGGTTTTCGACGTCGTTAATTCAGGAGTAGTCGCAGTAGTCGTAATCACATGTGTGGCTGAACTAGTACTGGAAGTCTCTGGTGCCGTAACTTGAGGAGTAGTCGCACTAGTCGTCACAGGCATGGCTGAGGTAGTGCTGGAGGTCTTTGACGTCGTTATTTCAGGAGTAGTAGTACTAGTCGTAACCACAGGGGCTGTGGCTGTGGTTATGCTGGAGGCTTCTGACGTCGTAATTTCAGGAGTAGTAGTACTAGTCGTAACCACAGGTGCTGTAGCTGAGGTAGTGCTGGAGGCTTCTGACGTCGTTATTTCAGGAGTAGTAGTAATAGTCGTAACCGCAGATGCTGTGGCTGAGGTAGTGCTGAAGACATCTGACGTCGTTATTTCAGGAGTAGTACTAGTCGTAACAACAGGTGCTGTGGCTGAGGTAGTGCTGGAGGCTTTTGACGTCGTTATTTCAGGAATAGTAGTACTAGTCGTAACCACAGGTGCTGTGGCTGATGTAGTGCTGGAGGCTTCTGACGTCGTTTTTTCGGAAGTAATAGTACTAGTCGTAACCACAGGTACTGTGGCTGAGGTAGTGCTGGAGGCTTCCGACGTCGTTATTTCAGCAGCAGTACTACTAGTCGTAACCACAGGTGCAGTGGCTGAGGTAGTGCTGGAGGTTTCCGACGTCGTTATTTCAGGAGCATTACTACTAGTCGTAACCACAGGTGGTGCTGTAGCTGAGGTAGTGCTGGAGGCTTCTGACGTCATTAGTTCAGGAGTAGTAGTGCTTGTGGTAACCACAGGTGCTGTGGCTGAGGTAGTGCTGGAGCTTTCTGACGTCGTTTTTTCAGGAGTAGTAGTACTAGTCGCAACCACAGGTGCTGTGGCTGAGGTAGTGCTGGAGGCTTCTGACGTCGTTCTTTCAGGATTAGTAGTGCTAGTCGTAACCACAGGTGCTGTGGCTGAGGTAGTGCTGGAGGCCTCTGAAGTCGTTATTTCAGAAGTAGTAGTTTTAGTCGTGACGACAGGTGCTGTGGCTGAGGTAGTGCTGGAGGCTTCTGACGTCGTTTTTTCGGGAGTAGTAGTACTAGTCTTAACCACAGGTGCTGTGGCTGATGTAGTGCTGGAGGCTTCTGACGTCGTTTTTTCGGAAGTAGTAGTACTAGTCGTAACCACAGGTGCTGTGGCTGATGTAGTGCTGGAGGCTTCTGACGTCGTTTTTTCGGAAGTAGTAGTACTAGTCGTAACCACAGCTGATGTGGCTGAGGTAGTGCTGGAGGCTTCCGACGTCGTTATTACAGGAGCAGTACTACTAGTCGGAACCACAGGTGCTGTGGCTGAGGTAGTGCTGGAGGCTTCCGACGTCGTTATTTCAGGAGCATTACTACTAGTCGTAACCACAGGTGGTGCTGTGGCTGAGGTAGTGCTGGAGCTTTCTGACGTCGTTTTTTCAGGATTGATAGTACTAGTCGCAACCACAGGTGCTGTGGCTGAGGTAGTGCTGGAGGCTTCTGACGTCGTTATTTCAGCATTAGTAGTGCTAGTCGTAACCACAGGTGCTGTGGCTGAGGTAGTGCTGGAGGCCTCTGACGTCGTTATTTCAGAAGTAGTAGTTTTAGTCGTGACGACAGGTGCTGTGGCTGAGGTAGTGCTGGAGGCTTCCGACGTCGTTATTTCAGGAGCAGTTCTACTAGTCGTAACCACAAGTGCTGTGGCTGAGGTAGTGCTGGAGGCCTCTGACGTCGTTATTTCGGAAGTAGTAGTTTTAGTCGTGACGACAGGTGCTGTGGCTGAGGTAGTGCTGGAGCTTTCTGACGTCTTTATTTCAGGAGTAGTAGTACTAGTCGCAACCACAGGCGCTGTGGCTGAGATAGTGCTGGAGGCTTCTGACGTCGTTCTTTCAGGATTAGTAGTGCTAGTCGTAACCGCAGGTGCTGTGGCTGAGGTAGTGCTGGAGGCCTCTGATGTCATTATTTCAGAAGTAGTAGTTTTAGCCGTGACGACAGGTGCTGTGGCTGAGGTAGTGCTGGAGGCTTCTGACGTCGTTTTTTCGGGAGTAGTAGTACTAGTCGTAACCACAGGTGCTGTGGCTGAGGTAGTGCTGGAGGCGTCCGACGTCGTTGTTTCAGGAGCAGTACTACTAGTCGTAACCACAGGTGCTGTAGCTGAGGTAGTGCTGGAGACTTCTGACGTCGTTATTTCAGGGGTAGTAGAACTAGTCGTAACCACAGGTGATGTGGCTGAGGTAGTGCTGGAGGCTTCTGACGTCGTTATTTCAGGAGTAGTAGTACTAGTCGTAACCAGAGGTGCTGTGGCTGAGGTAGTGCTGGAGGCTTCCGACGTCGTTATTTCAGGAGCAGTACTACTAGTCGTAACCACAGGTGCTGTAGCTGAGGTAGTGCTGGAGACTTCTGACGTCGTTATTTCAGGGGTAGTAGTACTAGTCGTAACCACAGGTGATGTGGCTGAGGTAGTGCTGGAGGCTTCTGACGTCGTTATTTCAGGAGTAGTAGTACTAGCCGTAACCACAGGTGCTGTGGCTGAGGTAGTGCTGGAGGCTTCTGACGTCAATAGTTCAGGAGTAGTAGTGCTTGTGGTAACCACAGGTGCTGTGGCTGAGGTAGTGCTGGAGGCTTCCGACGTCGTTATTTCAGGAGCATTACTACTAGTCGTAACCACAGGTGGTGCTGTGGCTGAGGTAGTGCTGGAGGCTTCCGACGTCGTTATTTCAGGAGCAGTACTACTAGTCGTAACCACAGGTGCTGTAGCTGAGGTAGTGCTGGAGACTTCTGACGTCGTTATTTCAGGGGTAGTAGTACTAGTCGTAACCACAGGTGATGTGGCTGAGGTAGTGCTGGAGGCTTCTGACGTCGTTATTTCAGGAGTAGTAGTACTAGTCGTAACCAGAGGTGCTGTGGCTGAGGTAGTGCTGGAGGCTTCAGACGTCGTTATTTCAGGAGCAGTACTACTAGTCGTAACCACAGGTGCTGTAGCTGAGGTAGTGCTGGAGACTTCTGACGTCGTTATTTTAGGGGTAGTAGTACTAGTCGTAACCACAGGTGATGTGGCTGAGGTAGTGCTGGAGGCTTCTGACGTCGTTATTTCAGGAGTAGTAGTACTAGCCGTAACCACAGGTGCTGTGGCTGAGGTAGTGCTGGAGGCTTCTGACGTCAATAGTTCAGGAGTAGTAATGCTTGTGGTAACCACAGGTGCTGTGGCTGAGGTAGTGCTGGAGGCTTCCGACGTCGTTATTTCAGGAGCATTACTACTAGTCGTAACCACAGGTGGTGCTGTGGCTGAGGTAGTGCTGGAGGCTTCTGACGTCATTAGTTCAGGAATAGTAGTGCTTGTGGTAACCACAGGTGCTGTGGCTGAGGTAGTGCTGGAGCTTTCTGACGTCGTTTTTTCAGGAGTAGTAGTACTAGTCGCAACCACAGGTGCTGTGGCTGAGGTAGTGCTGGAGGCTTCTGACGTCGTTCTTTCAGGATTAGTAGTGCTAGTCGTAACCACAGGTGCTGTGGCTGAGGTAGTGCTGGAGGCCTCTGACGTCGTTATTTCAGAAGTAGTAGTTTTAGTCGTGACGACAGGTGCTGTGGCTGAGGTAGTGCTGGAGGCTTCTGACGTCGTTTTTTCGGGAGTAGTAGTACTAGTCGTAACCACAGATGCTGTGGCTGAGGTAGTGCTGGAGGCTTCCGACGTCGTTATTTCAGGAGCAGTACTACTAGTCGTAACCACAGGTGATGTGGCTGAGGTAGTGCTGGAGGCTTCTGACGTCGTTATTTCAGGAGTAGTAGTGCTAGTCGCAACCACAGGTGCTGTGGCTGAGATAGTGCTGGAGGCCTCTGACGTCGTTATTTCAGAAGTAGTAGTTTTAGTCGTGACGACAGGTGCTGTGGTAGAGGTAGTGCTGGAGGCTTCTGACGTCGTTTTTTCGGGAGTAGTAGTACTAGTCGTAACCACAGGTGCTGTGGCTGTGGTAGTGCTGGAGGCTTCCGACGTCGTTATTTCAGGAGCAGTACTACTAGTCGTAACCACAGGTGCTGTGGCTGAGGTAGTGCTGGAGGCTTCTGACGTCGTTAGTTCAGGAGTAGTAGTGCTTGTGGTAACCACAGGTGCTGTGGCTGAGGTAGTGCTGAAGCTTTCTGACGTCGTTATTTCATGACTAGTGGTACTAGCCGTAACCCTAGGAGCTGTGGCTGAGGTAGTGCCGGACGCTTCTGACGTCGTTTTTTCAGGAGTGCTTTTACTTTTCGTAACCACAGATGCTGTGGCTGAGGTAGTGCTGGAAAATTCTGACGTCGTTATTTCGGGAGTAGTAGTACTAATCGTAACCACAGGTGCTGTGGCTGTGGTAGTGCTGGAAGCTTCTGACGTCGTTATTTCATGAGTGTAAGTACTAGTCGTAACCACAGGTGCTTTGGCTGAAGTAGTACTGGAGGCTTCGCTTGTCGTTATTTCAGGAGTAGTAGTACCAGTCGTAATCACAGGTGCTGTGGCTGAGGTAGTGCTGGAGGCTTCTGACGTCGTTATTTCGGGAGTAGTAGTACTAGTCGTAATGACAGATGCTGTGGCTGAGGTAGTGCTGGAGGCTTCTGACGTCGTTAATTCAGGACTAGGAGTACCAGTCGTGACAACAGGTGCTGTGGCTGAGGTAGTGCTGGAGGCTTCTGACATCGTTATTTCAGGAGTAGTAGTACTAGTCGTAACCACAGGTGCTGTGGCTGAGGTAGTGCTGGAGGCTTCTGATGTCGTTTTTTCAGGAGTAGAAGTACCAGTCGTAACAACAGGTGCTGTGGCTGAGGTAGTGCTGGAGGCTTCTGACGTCGTTATTTCAGGAGTAGTAGTACTAGTCGTAACCACAGATGCTGTGGCTGAGGTAGTCCTGGAGGCTTCTGACGTCGTTATTTCAGGAGTAGTAGTACTAGCCGTAACCACAGTTGCTGTGGCTGAGGTAGTGCTGGAGGCTTCTGACGTCGTTATTTCAGGAGTAGAAGTACCTGTCGTAACAACAGGTGCTGTGGCTGAGGTAGTGCTGGAGGCTTCTGACGTCGTTATTTCAGGAGTATTAGTACTAGTCGTAACCACAGGTGCTGTAGCTGAGGTAGTGCTGGAGGCTTCTGACGTCGTCATTTCAGTGGTAGTAGTACTAGTCGTAACCACAGGTGATGTGGCTGAGGTAGTGCTGGAGGCTTCTGACGTCGTTATTTCAGGAGTAGTAGTACTAGTCATAACCAGAGGTGCTGTGGCTGAGGTACTGCTGGAGGCTTCTGACGTCGTTATTTCAGGAGTAGAAGTACCAATCGTAACAACAGGTGATGTGGCTGAGGTAGTGCTGGAGGCTTCTGACGTCGTTATTTCAGGAGTAGTAGTACTAGACGTAACCACAGGTGCTGTGGCTGAGGTAGTGCTGGAGGCTTCTGACGTCGTTATTTCAGGAGTAGAAGTACCAGTCGTAACAACAGGTGCTGTGGCTGAGGTAGTGCTGGAGGCTTCTGACGTCGTTATTTCAGGAGTAGTAGTACTAGTCGTAACCACAGATGCTGTGGCTGAGGTAGTCCTGGAGGCTTCTGACGTCGTTATTTCAGGAGTAGTAGTACTAGCCGTAACCACAGTTGCTGTGGCTGAGGTAGTGCTGGAGGCTTCTGACGTCGTTATTTCAGGAGTAGAAGTACCTGTCGTAACAACAGGTGCTGTGGCTGAGGTAGTGCTGGAGGCTTCTGACGTCGTTATTTCAGGAGTATTAGTACTAGTCGTAACCACAGGTGCTGTAGCTGAGGTAGTGCTGGAGGCTTCTGACGTCGTCATTTCAGTGGTAGTAGTACTAGTCGTAACCACAGGTGATGTGGCTGAGGTAGTGCTGGAGGCTTCTGACGTCGTTATTTCAGGAGTAGTAGTACTAGTCATAACCAGAGGTGCTGTGGCTGAGGTACTGCTGGAGGCTTCTGACGTCGTTATTTCAGGAGTAGAAGTACCAATCGTAACAACAGGTGATGTGGCTGAGGTAGTGCTGGAGGCTTCTGACGTCGTTATTTCAGGAGTAGTAGTACTAGACGTAACCACAGGTGCTGTGGCTGAGGTAGTGCTGGAGGCTTCTGACGTCGTTATTTCAGGAGTAGAAGTACCTGTCGTAACAACAGGTGCTGTGGCTGAGGTAGTGCTGGAGGCTTCTGACGTCGTTATTTCAGTAGTAGTACTAGTCGTAACCGCAGGTGCTGTAGCTGAGGTAGTGCTGGAGACTTCTGACGTCGTTATTTCAGGGGTGGTAGTACTAGTCGTAACCACAGGTGATGTGGCTGAGGTTGTGCTGGAGGCTTCTGACGTCGTTGTTTCAGGAGTAGTAGTACTAGTCGTAACCAGAGTTGCTGTGGCTGAGGTACTGCTGGAGGCTTCTGACGTCGTTATTTCAGGAGTAGTAGTACTAGCCGTAACCACAGTTGCTATGACTGAGGTAGTGCTGGAGGCTTCTGACGTCGTTATTTCAGGAGTAGAAGTACCAATCGTAACAACAGGTGCTGTGGCTGAGGTAGTGCTGGAGGCTTCTGACGTCGTTATTTCAGGAGTAGTAGTACTAGTCGTAACCACAGGTGCTGCAGCTGAGGTAGTCCTGGAGGCTTCTGGCGTCGTTATTTCAGGAGAAGTAGTACTAGTCGTAACCACAGGTGCTGTGGCTGAGGTAGTGCTGGAGGCTTCTGACGTCGTTATTTCGGGAGTAGTAGTACTAGTCGTAATGACAGGTGATGTGGCTGAGGTAGTGCTGGAGGCTTCTGACGTCGTTATTTCAGGAGTAGTAGTACTAGTCGTAACCACAGGTGCTGTGGCTGAGGTAGTGCTGGAGGCTTCTGACGTCGTTATTTCGGGAGTAGTAGCACTAGTCGTAATCACAGGTGCTGTGGCTGAGGTAGTGCTGGAGGCTTCTGATGTCCTTATTTCAGGAGTAGAAGTACCAGTCGTAATCACAGGTGCTGTGGCTGAGGTAGTGCTGGAGGCTTCTGACGTCGTTATTTCAGTAGTAGGAGTACCAGTCGTAACAACAGGTGCTGTGGCTGAGGTAGTGCTGGAGGCTTCTGACGTCGTTATTTCGGGAGTAGTAGTACTAGTCGTAATCACAGGTGCTGTCGCTGAGGTAGTCCTGGAATCTTCTGACGTCGTTATTTCAGGAGTAGGAGTACCAGTCGTAACAACAGGTGCCGTGGCTGAGGTAGTGCTGGAGGCTTCTGACGTCGTTATTTCAGGAGTAGTAGTACTAGTCGTAACCACAGGTGATGTGGCTGAGGTAGTGCTGTAGACTTCTGACGTCGTTATTTCAGGAATAAAAGTACCAGTCGTAACATCAGGTGCTGTTGCTGATGTAGTACTGGAGGCTTCTGACGTCGTTATTTCAGGAGTAGTAGTACTAGTCGTAACCACAGGTGCTGTGGCTGAGGTAGTGCTGGAGGCTTCTGACGTCGTTATTTCGGGAGTAGTAGTACTAGTCGTAATGACAGGTGCTGTGGCTGAGGTAGTGCTGGAGGCTTCTGACGTCGTTATTTCAGGAGCAGGACTACCAGTCGTAACAACAGGTGCTGTGGCTGAGGTAGTGCTGGAGGCTTCTGACGTCGTTATTTCAGGAGTAGTAGTAATAGTCGTAACCACAGGTGCTGTGGCTGAGGTAGTGCTGGAGGCTTCTGACGTCGTTATTTCAGGAGTAGTAGTACTAGCCGTAACCACAGGTGCTGTGGCTGAGGTAGTGCTGGAGGCTTCTGACGTCGTTATTTCAGGAGTAGTAGTACTAGTCGTAGCCACAGATGCTGTGGCTGAGGTAGTCCTGGAGGCTTCTGACGTCGTTATTTCAGGAGTAGTAGTACTAGCCGTAACCACAGGTGCTGTGGCTGAGGTAGTGCTGGAGGCTTCTGACGTCGTTATTTCAGGAGTAGAAGTACCTGTCGTAACAACAGGTGCTGTGGCTGAGGTAGTGCTGGAGGCTTCTGACGTCGTTATTTCAGGAGTAGTAGTACTAGTCGCAACCACAGGTGCTGTAGCTGAGGTAGTGCTGGAGGCTTCTGACGTCGTTATTTCAGGGGTAGTAGTACTAGTCGTAACCACAGGTGATGTGGCTGAGGTAGTGCTGGAGGCTTCTGACGTCGTTATTTCAGGAGTAGTAGTACTAGTCGTAACCAGAGGTGCTGTGGCTGAGGTAGTGCTGGAGGCTTCTGACGTCGTTATTTCAGGGGTAGTAGTACTAGTCGTAACCACAGGTGATGTGGCTGAGGTAGTGCTGGAGGCTTCTGACGTCGTTATTTCAGGAGTAGTAGTACTAGTCGTAACCAGAGATGCTGTGGCTGAGGTAGTGCTGGAGGCTTCTGACGTCGTTATTTCAGGAGTAGTAGTACTAGTCGTAACCACAGGTGATGTGGCTGAGGTAGTGCTGGAGGCTTCTGACGTCGTTATTTCAGGAGTAGTAGTACTAGTCGTAACCAGAGGTGCTGTGGCTGAGGTAGTGCTGGAGACTTCTGACGTCGTTATTTCAGGGGTAGTAGTACTAGTCGTAACCACAGGTGATGTGGCTGAGGTAGTGCTGGAGGCTTCTGACGTCGTTATTTCAGGAGTAGTAGTACTAGTCGTAATCAGAGGTGCTGTGGCTGAGGTAGTGCTGGAGGCTTCTGACGTCGTTATTTCAGGGGTAGTAGTACTAGTCGTAACCACAGGTGATGTGGCTGAGGTAGTGCTGGAGGCTTCTGACGTCGTTATTTCAGGGGTAGTAGTACTAGTCGTAACCACAGGTGATGTGGCTGAGGTAGTGCTGGAGGCTTCTGACGTCGTTATTTCAGGAGTAGTAGTACTAGTCGTAACCAGAGGTGCTGTAGCTGAGGTACTGCTGGAGGCCTCTGACGTCGTTATTTCAGGAGTAGTAGTACTAGTCGTAACCACAGGTGATGTGGCTGAGGTAGTGCTGGAGGCTTCTGACGTCGTTATTTCAGGAGTAGTAGTACTAGTCGTAACCAGAGGTGCTGTGGCTGAGGTAGTGCTGGAGGCTTCTGACGTCGTTATTTCAGGGGTAGTAGTACTAGTCGTAACCACAGGTGATGTGGCTGAGGTAGTGCTGGAGGCTTCTGACGTCGTTATTTCAGGGGTAGTAGTACTAATCGTAACCAGAGGTGCTGTGGCTGAGGTAGTGCTGGAGGCTTCTGACGTCGTTATTTCAGGAGTAGTAGTACTAGTCGTAACCACAGGTGATGTGGCTGAGGTAGTGCTGGAGGCTTCTGACGTCGTTATTTCAGGAGTAGTAGTACTAGTCGTAACCAGAGGTGCTGTGGCTGAGGTAGTGCTGGAGGCTTCTGACGTCGTTATTTCAGGGGTAGTAGTACTAGTCGTAACCACAGGTGATGTGGCTGAGGTAGTGCTGGAGGCTTCTGACGTCGTTATTTCAGGAGTAGTAGTACTAGTCGTAACCAGAGGTGCTGTCGCTGAGGTAGTGCTGGAGGCTTCTGACGTCGTTATTTCAGGGGTAGTAGTACTAGTCGTAACCACAGGTGATGTGGCTGAGGTAGTGCTGGAGGCTTCTGACGTCGTTATTTCAGAAGTAGTAGTACTAGTCGTAACCAGAGGTGCTGTGGCTGAGGTAGTGCTGGAGACTTCTGACGTCGTTATTTCAGGGGTAGTAGTACTAGTCGTAACCACAGGTGATGTGGCTGAGGTAGTGCTGGAGGCTTCTGACGTCGTTATTTCAGGAGTAGTAGTACTAGTCGTAACCACAGGTGCTGTGGCTGAGGTAGTGCTGGAGGCTTCTGACGTCGTTATTTCAGGGGTAGTAGTACTAGTCGTAACCACAGGTGATGTGGCTGAGGTAGTGCTGGAGGCTTCTGACGTCGTTATTTCAGGAGTAGTAGTACTAGTCGTAACCAGAGGTGCTATCGCTGAGGTAGTGCTGGAGGCTTCTGACGTCGTTATTTCAGGGGTAGTAGTACTAGTCGTAACCACAGGTGATGTGGCTGAGGTAGTGCTGGAGGCTTCTGACGTCGTTGTTTCAGGAGTAGTAGTACTAGTCGTAACCAGAGGTGCTGTGGCTGAGGTAGTGCTGGAGGCTTCTGACGTCGTTATTTCAGGGGTAGTAGTACTAGTCGTAACCACAGGTGATGTGGCTGAGGTAGTGCTGGAGGCTTCTGACGTCGTTATTTCAGGAGTAGTAGTACTAGTCGTAACCACAGGTGCTGTGGCTGAGGTAGTGCTGGAGATCTCCGAACTTGTCAGTTCACTAGTGGTTGCACTAGTATACCCCTCGGTTGTCGTGCCGGAGGTTGTCGTGCGCTGCAGCTTCTGTATTTCATTGTCTATCCAGCGTTTGACTGCGCTCTCTGTTACGTTTTGCGATAACCATGATCGCGAGTACCCAGTTTCTTCGTCATTCTTTCCCAAAATTGCATAAAGACACTCAGCTTTTCTGTCCGAAGCGGTCAAAAAATAGATGGGAGCGCCTCTGTCTCTGGGAAGAATGCGTGGCATATCAGGATCGGCTATGGCCAAACACATGTCGATATCATAACCCTCAGAACCCTCAGGACAGCCAGATTTAAGTCGGTATTCTTTTAAAGTAGTGGAAGGTTTGATCGCTTTCTTCCCAAAACCACAATATGCCAAATGATCGTCGCTCATGCTCGAAGGACAAATATCCAGAACTCGCTCTTCTGACACAGTATCTTGTAGTTTCAGAAGTACCAGTATCTTAGCAGGGTTACTAAGCAGAAAACATAGTCAACGGTCGCTGAACTGAAGAAAGCCAAAATTATTGGTTGATTTTTTGAAACAACTTTACGAGATTCAAATTTTAGGGAAACACGAGTCAAGGTTTCCAGCCCAAAACAAAGCAAGATTTGAGCGGTTTGAACGGTTTTAAAAAAAAAATTGTGGGAATTTTGATAGGTTGGTTTTTGGCCTATATTTTGGTATTGCGGAAGGCTAGAAGTTCAGATTTTTTAAATGATTGATCGTTTGTGTACTGCAACGCATTTTGCGTAAGTTAATTGACATATGGACAAATTTTAGTTATTATGTAAAGTCTTCGGTTCCATCTGGGGATCTGGTGCAGTGACCTTGTGATCGATTTTCGTCTGGCGCACAATGAAACAGAAGAGTGCAGTGTGCAGTTTATAGAGTAATTGGAACAATACAATTGCCTTGCAATAAAGATATTTAAGCTTGTGCTTTACGCTAAAGGTGGGGAGAGGAGAACCCACTGAGTATTGTATCATTTTGGGATGCGCGTACACCGGAGCCGCCTACATACTGTGAAGAGTGGATAATTAAATTCCACTGGCGAAAGATTGCCAAAGGTGGTATTGACCCCGATGATTTTTATTTCGATGCTAATTTAAACGCAGCGGTGATAGCGGAATTACCCTGGGACGTGAAGAATCGTTTGTAATGGGAGAAAAAATTGAAATCAAATTTGTACCTCTGCATAGGAGACAAAGCCCAGCGTATTTTCAGGGCGCGAAAACCGGCAGTCAGCTTAAAAACCGAACGCTATTTTTGGATATTGGACGAGATGCAGAATGTCTTCAAGCGGGAACGTAACGTTACCCACGAGCGAGGCTTGTTCTACGAGGGGAAGCAAAAAAATTGACACGTTCGAGAAACTTAACGGAGAGCTAAGCGCTTTCTTTAGCCGGAAGCAGCGATTTCGCCAAGTGGCTGAAAACATTCGCAATATTTTCACCAACGTGGCTGAAAACATATGCGATAATTTTTCCATGAACAAGCGAAAATCTGATTGTCAACGAGAATTATCGAGTTCAACAAAAACGCCTAAAGAAGTCTATCGAATCGCGTTATCGTATGAAAGAGAAGATTGCGCGTATGAATCCTACACAGGAAAATTGGCATTGTCAGCGCCGCACATGACTATCGAACAAGAAACCCGGGGCATGGGGGAAGAGGATAGGCACCGGGGGTAAATGTTTCCAAAAATCTTCGGTGTTACAATTGTGACGCCCCGAACTTTACATTAGAACATATTCCCGATTGTCCCGCAAATACCCTGTAATGCGTGCCGGAAAGTTGGGCACTTTCGGAGAACCTGTACGGGTGTGAGGAAGAGCAGTTTGGATGGATCAATCAGCAGCAGGAGGGTATTGAGGAGTTATCCACCTCCTCAGGGTCCGACGATTGCAGAGGTGTCGAGGAAGAAGATGTGGCTCTGGGTCGATAGCGGGTCCCCGGTTATGATCTTCAGCAGAACTGATCTTAAAGCAACACTCGCTAAAGCAAATTTAAACTTACAACCTAAACGGGAACAATTTCAGGAGTACAACAATTACCGAATACTTCTACTGGGGAAGATAAAAGTAACGAGTGCACTAAATGGATGGGCTACGCAGGCGAAAGTGAGAATCCTAGGGATAACTGGAGAGGACAGTGATGATTGTGCAGAGGGACTGGACGAATTCAAATATATTTCTGAAAGTTATAACCAATTTTTCTTACAAGAACAGGTAGATTCCGGAACGCAAAACTGAAAACCGAATTGTTCGAAGCGCTAAAACCGATACAGCAAAAGCGGCGTGGGTTACCGCTCAGTCTTCAAGTAAAAAGGACAACGTGATCACACGTTTAATTGATGAGGGACATTCCATCAAGTTGCAAGAAAGTCCAATCAAGAATTTTGTGTCACCAATAGTAATTACTGTAGAGAAAAATGAAAACATCAAACTGGCAGTAGAAACAAGGGAACTGAACAAACAATTACATAAAAATAAGTACAGATGCCAAATCTCGACGAATTACTAGACGGAATAAGTCAAATTATTGCCAAACGTAAAGCAGAAGATGCGTATTTCACTATATTGGATTTCACATTTGCCTGGGGACAACTAGCATTAGATCAAAAAACTAACAAACAGTGCAATTTTCACTAGTAGGGGCAAATCCATGGAAACATGGATTCAAGAACTGTTTTTACAGGCTCACTACAATGCCGGCGGACTTTCTAATAGTTAAAGACAATATGCTCAAAAAACTTACTCAAGCGACGATTTTATAGACGACAAACTAGTCGTATCAAAAGGGACAAAGATAAACCACATTGCATTAGTCGAGAAAATTAAAAATTGGATGTAGCGAAGGCTGCTCTGAAACTAAGAAAAAGTGAACTTGAACAAAAAAGAATGTGAATGGTTTGTTTCCTAACACGGAAAAAACTGGCTAACACAGCTAGTTCGAAAAACAGGCGGTCGAAGAACTAAAGCCCCCAAATCTAGAAAGCAATCAAAATCTTTATGGGGATCTTTACATAATCTGCAGAATTTTTTTCACAACTAGCAGAAGTAAACTCTCCACTAAAAAATTTACTAAGCCTAAATAATGACTTCATTTGCACGCCTGCATGCGACAACGCGTTTCAACAATTATAACGGCTGGTAAAGAAAATCGTTGGATTCAAGCACTTCGATATTTACCGGGAAACAGTTAAAGTATGCCATGCTCATCACGATGGTTTGGATTTGTGTTAGAGCAGTACGGCTCAAATGAGTGGCAACTAATATCATTTGCCTCAATACATCTCAATGAAGCAGAGAAAAATTACTCCCCGAATGAACTCGAACTTCTGGCTGTAGTCTGGTCTACGGAACAATTTCGTAATTATATCTACGGCCGATATTTTACAAAAATATCATATGATGAAGTGCTCTTAGCCCTATTAAATTATAGGGCTAAAGGAATAAAACAATTTTCAGTTGACTAACTCTTTGGTATGATCGTTTTGTGCCCTACGATTGTAAAGTACAACATCGTCAGGGGGCAAAAAGGAAGAGTATAGCCGACTATTTGTTGCGTTGTCCATCGGCAGCAGCAACAAAGACAAGTCATTACGATGAAAACTTTACTGCAGCTAAGATCAGGATGATAAATGAAGCTTTACCCTAGGGACCAGTTAAATGCTAGGGTTGTGTCGGTTAATAAAAAATACTGACTGTTGAGGGCGTACGCGCGTGAGAAGCTCATTTCCAATCAAAAACTGAACAAATTTTAATAACGCAAATGTTTAACCGAAGCACACTCAGTTGCAAAAGGGCGTTACAGCATGCAACCGACAGTTAGCCAAGCAGCAGCGAGATATTTGCATAACGACAGATATATGCAAATATACTTCAGCCAAAATCAGACCTTGTTCTCAGGCAGCTATAATCAGTTGCCCAATAAATCACATTTCAAAGTTCTCAAAAATCGAAACTCAAAATTCTCAAATATCAACAATCAATTCGCCGGAAAAGTCCAATGTGTAAAACTTTTTACCATTGTAATTACATTCCTTCAAACTAGAAATAGAAATTTAAATGTCGTCCTCAATCGTGTTCCAAGTCAACTCCTGGTCTCAGGTCTGACTCTGACATAGAAGTAAACACCTCCAAAAAAGTGCCAAAGAAGCTGAATCCGATTATCTCAGTACCCCATCAGTTACTGAATCTCTCCTACCCCCTTGTAAATAGTGAAAAGTGGGTCTACTCGCTTGTTCCTACGGATTGCCGATCTGTGAAGAAGCCAGAGTTTCTGGAAAACCTGAATCTATAATTTGTGGAAGCCAATATTGAGAAGGACCCGATTCCAAAATTAATCAGGGTCGCTATCAAAACAGGAACCCGAGGGCCATGGAGATGATGGCCCCACATGGGCAGTAGTATGCGCAACACTACAACGACTTCTCAGTAGGAGAAAATTGCCTTTGCAAGGACGGGCCGTTGGCAGCTGCGAAAGATGTATGGGTTACACTAATGCACTGAAGTCTCTCAATTAAATCGAAATGATGCAAACACTGCTTGAAAGCAGGTAAAAATCTTCAGACAGATATACCAAGGAGAGACTTAGGTAAAACTTATATACCGCAGGAACCGACTGAAATAGTTCACCTGGATTTTTTGGGCCCAGTTAATTTTATAAAACGGCACAAGAACTATGTCTTAGAGGCGATGGACGTTTTTCCACATTGGCTTATGTATGCTCGAGTAACAGTTCAAAAAATGTGGTAAATTTCCTATGAAAATATATCGAAACGCATAGGCACCCAAGGAAATTACATGGGAATCAAGCATCTGGATTCTTTTCAAACAAAATTTAAAATTTCTGCTACTTCAAGGGAAACCAATTTATAACATCTCCGGTGAAAGACCACCGCGTTACAGGGATTGTGGAAAGAGCCACCGGTTCAATTAAAAATTACGTACTAATGTACCTTCGGGAAGATGGATATAAAAAATCAAAAAAAAATGATTTTGAGAGCGTCAAGCGCACTACGGTTCGTATCACACTCCAAAACAAAAATGACTCCTTTCGAGGAACATCATATGAGAAAGGCTAACACGGTCCTCTTCAACCTCAAGAAAAAAAAACATCTTAGGAAAAATCAATCCGACAAACGTAATTAATCATGTTATAGAAGGACTCGATTCTAAAAACCATCAGGGACGCTATCAGGGACAGAAACCCGAGGGCCAAGGAGGCAGTGACCCGACTTAGGTAGTGTAACACGCAGCACTACAACCACTCATAAGACTACGCTATCGGGGACAGGAACCCTAATTGCGTAAAACTGCGGAGGCCATCAGGGGCGGCTTTTTAGAATTGAACTTTTTGCTGTAGTCTGGGCTACCAAACACTGT